ATCAATAGTGTCCTTATAATTTTTTAACTGTTAAATACATACAAGACTTCAGAGTGCTTCTCTGTAAAATTTTGGTTCTTTGAGCTGTAGCCATATTATTCTAGGTGTGCAACATGACCATTTTTAATACTTTACTGTGACCATGCTTTCATCCATGTTTATTGAGAACTGACCCATCTTTCCACTAACAGCTCCCAAACTAGACACAATTTATGTCTCTTGAAATTACATGCAATGTTGTGATGTATTATATTGTTGATGTTTACAAACTCTTTTATTCATATTTCAGAGATTTTTGTGAAACTGTGAAACATGAAATCATACTTCAATACAATATTGATCTTTATATTTAACTTTTTACTACATATCAGTGTAAGTTTATAGTTTAATATGCTGTGTTAATTTATGTTTAAAATGTTAAAAATTAGGGTAAAGCTTACATTCAAGAGTTTGAATAAAATTGTGTGTTTGTGAAGCTTTATGTTAGGATCCAGAAAATACTTGATATCCCTAATGTGATTAGGAAATATACATTATGAACAGATACATGAATTATTTTAGTTTTTCCATTTTTAAAATATTATAACTGATTAATCATCATATAAGCTTTTCTAGAGAAAACATTGCTACCTTTATTTTTGTATGGTAGATAGTTTCACTATATTCAGTTTCTTATAAATATTTTAAAGATGCATTGAAGTGACATTGTTTCTCGGGTGAATAGGTTGATAGAGACGGTACGGGTACGGAGGTCAGGATTTTGTTATCGATTACCGTACCAGCAGTTCCTTTCACGCTACAAGATGCTTTCATTGCACACTTGGCCTAATTGGCAAGGACCTCCAGTTGAAGGTGTTTCCTACCTCATTAGGGACCTGCCCATCCCAAGTGGAGAATTTGCCTTTGGAAGGACAAAGGTCTTTGTAAGAAGTCCCAGAACAGTAAGTCAAATTATCTGATGCTGTTAACTTTTATCATGTGTGCATAACTGCTTGCTTATGATCCAGCAGGCTGTGTCTTGTATTAGCATACTTCTAACTGTTAGCCCCACACTTGAAGTCTGGTTGTCAGCCCCAGGGTCCAGGGGTTTAAATGTCCTGTTACCATGCAATAGAGGTTAATCTAAACTGGATAGCTATAATGTTAAAAAATGAGGCTACAAGTTTAATCACTCTGACTTCTTCACTTTGATTTTGTAACAAATTCTTCATCACTGGTGTGAAAGTGTGCAATAAGCTTTTGGCTAAATGCAGTGTATAAGTCAGAAGAAAATAATGTTTTCATTATAACATGTACTGTATTAAGAACGTAGCTATAATTTTTAAACAAATATTCTTGTTTATTATGTGCGTACTACATATCCTACCCATCTGTACTTCGTTTTGTTCACTCTGCCAATACTATGTTATGAGAAAAACTATGAAACTCCTTATTGTATAACTCTTTATTCCTGTAATAGTTCCTTTCTCTTAAGATAAAATATTCTTCTTGCTTTCTTTTCATACATCTTGACTTCTTTAGCAAAATTATTCTCTTGCAAAATTTATATATGAGTATGCAATAATGAACACACAATTTGTTAAAATTTTAGCACTTTTTTGGAACTGCCTACATTATTGTTACTTGTTTTCCTAAAATGTAAAATTAAAAATAAAATAAAAATCTGTTTTACTCCTGCTGCCGAGGCAGTAGTATGGAATAATTCTATTTATATTTATATACAAGTACAGAAAGCTTATGACTTGATGTTTTGTGTGTAAGACATCTATATCTACGTAGAATATTTGTTATTAGGTGTTTGAGTTGGAGGAGTTTCGTAGAGAACGACTGGAAGACTTAGCGATGCTGCTGCAAAAAATCTGGCGTGGCTACAGACAACGGAAAGAATTCTTACGAAAGAAGCATAGCCAGGTTATTATTGCATCTGCATGGCGAAGTTGGAGAGTAAGTTACTTTTTTCACAAATTTGTTTTCATGAACTGTCAGTTATTTTTTAAATATGCATAACTAAGGTGAATTTATTTATGTTTTTATCATATTTGACACGGGGATATTTTAAATTAATTGTATGATATGAACTTAACTGAGCTACACACTGAAAAAGTACTTTGGTAAAAAAAACATCATTGGGAACAATCTCTAGTTTTTACAGTAAACTCCATAAGTATATGTGCTGTGGACACTGGCCATTTGGTATAAATATAACTAATATTAATGTACGTTTCATATCATTTAAATTGTTTGAGACTTGATTTATAATCAATACTTTGTCTATTCTGAGCATTATTTAGTACAAATTCAATTTTATTTAACTTCTTATATGAAAATTTCCTGTAACAAAATGGAACAAATCTAGTGTTTTTTGTCATTTGTCGAAATTAATGTATGTTTACTAAAATTAATTAAGTCAAATATTAATATGAAATTGCTAAGCAGTTCTAGTATCTGTGTGTGCAGATATTTTCTAAAAGGTTGACACTTTAAACGTATTAGTTTGTTTAAAGATGTAGTTATTTATATTCAGTTTCAGTGTGTCAAAATAACTGATCACAAAAGCAAATATTAGTTGCTATAATTCTATGGTCTGAAGTTTTTATGGGTTGGCATAATGCGGAGAACAATAATCGAGGCAGCGTCTTGGTTGTCTGGCTATCTAGGAATGTCGATTTGGCATCCACTTCAAAGGCAGGCGACACTTGTGGTGTCTATATAGAGTGGTATGTACTCTGAATAAGACTTGTATTCACTTCCCTTCTGTGTTTGCAGCCAGTAGGCTTGGAAATAGCTGAATATGGACCATGCATTACTGAAAATACACAGCTTTTGTTACTCTTCTTCTGCTCTAGAAACAAAGATTATGAACCCTGTATTATACAGTTGAAACTTGCTTCATTACATTATTATGTTGTGTAGTTAGACTTTTCCTTACTATAGACAAGGTACACATTCTATGATTATTAATTTTAGTCGGTCACTTTGTCTCAAAACTGTAGATGCGTGAAATATGTTTTGTATATGATCAAAACACTTTTTTTTCACTTAAGCATTTGTTATTTAAATCAACCTTTTAATTCCAATAAAAGCAATAAATCGTTTCTGTCTCTCACTAACATTGTTAAAAATCAAAGAAATATGTTACCTCTGAGCTTTAGCAAAGTTTTTCATAAAGAAGTTCATAGCCATTTCAATAATTGATTTTCTAAAGACAAAACACTATCTAAAAAAATTACCTGCGTATTTACTTTAGACACCAAATAATAATCATATCCAATCATTAAAAGGTTTAGGTAGAATTCTGATTTTTTAAACTTGCTAGAAACCTGCTGGTTACTCTTATTGCAACAGTAGAATACTGAATTTTGATAGGCTATTACAATTAATAGATTGAGCCTCATTATGTAAGAACCTCATTATTCCAAGAAAACTGTAAGATGAATCTACACATAAAGGCAAAAACATAAATGTGCAGTAATGTTTTAATTTTTTATACATTCCTCTTATTCTAAAAAGGTCTTGTCCTACCTTTGATCTTCTTACTCTTACTTTGACACCTAAATGTGCAGCATTTAGGATGCTCTTAGGAAGTATTGATGATGTATGAGCTAGATTGAACTTATGATGAGAAATCAACATAACATGCTGTGTGTAGTGTATCACACCTCCATGTCATGCACATGCTTGTATTGATATTAAAATTAATAATTGTTTAAGTTTATTTACTCTGAAAAGTAATATGATTTCTTTTTTTCTAGCATACTCCATGTCCCAAACAATAATTTGATACTGTCCATATCCTGCTCATACTCCTAATTTTTATTACAGCCTTCTCATGTAATTAAATTCTGGTTTCTGATGGAAGATCAATGACTTAGTCAACTACAAGTCTTATGCTGAATATTGAGGGTGTGTTGGCAGTACCATACAAATATTTGCTGTCTTTCAGGCAAGAGAAGAGTATCGTATTCTCAGGCACCGAAAGCAGGTGGAATGGGCAGTCAACATAATACAAAGACACTACATTCACTGGAAGGTGAGTCTTCAATCTGTTCTGTACTGATAAGTGCAGGGTTCTCCAAAAAGCTGTATCATGACATGAATGCCTGTGGTGTCTCTGTAACCATTTTATGTAAGTATTGTATATTTTAAAGTTTTAAGAAAGTTAAAGGATATGAATTGGCAGACACCAAAAACAGCTTTTTTTTATATAACAAAGTATATTATGCTCTTTCCTACAGAATTTGTTATGAAATACAGAAAATGTGTCCAACCATGCTGCAGAAACATGTATAAATTCAAAGAAATACAGTTGCATGTTACATTACCACCCATTTGTATTTTAATGTCCCAAATATTTTCTTTTATGCTTGTGGTGAGATAGTAGTGCAGAACTTATTTGCTCATATCAGGTCATTATTGCCTGTATCTTATTCATAGGACATATTCCACAATAATATAATCTGTCAAAATATGTGATATTGCTTGTACAGAATGGATGTAGTGTTCATATGTTCCAGCAGTCTGTAAACTTGCAGTTGATAAAGATTTGTTAAATGACCTGCAAAAAATAAAATTCTTGATCGAATACATTATGTAGATATCAATGCTAAAGTAAATATTAGGCTGTTAAAGGACTAGTCAGAATGAATGGAAATAACAGTTATCTGTAATTTTTTCTTTGAAGCACTCTAAAATCGCATCTGTTACAGTGTATATTAATATTAATAGTCCAGGATCAAATATATTACTTCTAATTCTATTTCTAGAGGTGGCAGTTTCTGCTTCGTCTTGCTCGACAACTTCCTCAAGAATCTGAATCTCCTATCAGCAGGGAATGGCCACCGTGTCATAAGAGATTAGCAGAGACCAGTCTAATCCTTAGGCGAATACACCACAAATGGAGAGTTAGTATACTTGACTTCAAAAGAAAGTAACATATTTGTAACTAGAACATGTAAGAGCAAATTGGTGATCATTATGAACAAAATAATGTAACTATAGTGGATTTTTTTCAATTTTGGTCAAATCTGGCTGTAAAAGTATAATTAATTAGTGTTGCAGACCTCTTTGATTTTAAGCTTGATTTGAATCGTGACTGTGGATGGATGATTAGTGCTTTGAGTCATGGGGCATTTAAAAATCATAGTCCTGATTTCGTGTGTGTGTGTGTTTTCTCTCTCTCTCTCCCTCCCTCCCTCCCTCCCTCTCTCTCTCTCTCTCTCTCTCTCTCTCCCTCCTTTATTCTTTGTCATTCTGTTCTTCCAATCTTCTGACATGGGTTGGTCACCTGTGGAAATTATGCTAAAAGTTTTGAAAGCAATTCCAGGTATACATATTGCATTAACAAAAATATAATGTACTTCTAATTATTAGATAATTCTATAGACACCTTTTATGCACTTGCCTACAACCAGCTACAGTAAGGTGGGCAAATGGTAAAGTTTATGATTGAGAAAACATCTCCAACTGTTGGTATTTTAAAAGAGTAAATGTTAATTTTAATTGTGACACCTTACTGTTATTTCATATTCCAGTGTCACAGATATCGACTAAAATTTGACCAAACGGCAAGAAATAGGATGAGAGAAAAAGTGACAGCTAGTATTATCTTCAAGGACAGGAAAGCTTCATACCCACGCAGGTGAGAACTTGAGTAATTTCACTGATATATGTTATACTTGCAGTTTCTAAAAGTGTGTAGTATTCAAGTTTCTGTGTTTTCTTTCAAGTGTGTCACATCCTTTTCTGGGGGATTATGTACGCCTTAGACAGAATGTCCAGTGGAAGAAAGCCTGTATAGAAACCAATGACCAATATGTGGTGTTTGCAGACATCATAAACAAAATCACAAGATCAAGTGGGAAGGTTAGTTATTTTTAACACTTTCAGAAATGGTGCTTTGGTTTATAATTTTCTCTGTGTGGTGAGATGAAATTGAGTGGTGTTTTACATATATACTTTTTAAACCATGTCAGATTTTATTCCTACATTGTATATTATATTAAATACATTAATATTATAAGATTTAATTCCTTTAGCATTCAGAATTGTACCATCCAATCAGCAAGTGTCTGTCATTATGTATCTGTATTTGTGATAAATTTATTCATAGAGAATGAAATACTTTTAAGACACATTGGATTTGGTCTTTAGTTTCTCACAGTCCACATTTATCTCCTGTTCATTTCTATTTTCATATTCATGATCTACTTTTTTCACAGCAGTGAGTTTGAAGATTTCTGTCTTCTGGGTTGTTGCGCTATGTAGTCTGGTAGAAGTTTACTGAAGTTTCAGAGGTCATTGCTGCCTCCATTATCAGGGTGATGACTCTTTGCCCTGATGATGGAGGCAACAAGGACCACTGAAACGTCAGTAAACTTCTACCAGACTCATGGCAACAGCCCAGAAGACAGCCATTTTCTACTTTCTTTTGTTTATTGATGTGGCCACACCATTGGAATATTTGTCTTCTTAAAGTGCTTTTAGTGTGACTTCATAACTGACTCTGCAGTAATCACAAAGTTTTCATTATCACTGTTGTAAGGGATTAATTGATTTCAGTTAGTAATGAATTGCACACAGATGTTGCGTTGTTCATATAGTGTACTAAAAGAAGTAAGACCTGAAATCAAATCACTTTGTCTCTGTATACAGTTTGTTCCCATCCTATTTGTGCTGTCAACAAGCTCCATGCTGATACTGGACCAACGCACACTGCAGATAAAATACCGTGTGCCGGCAGCAGAGATCTACCGGTTATCCCTCAGTCCATACCTGGACGATGTAGCTGTCTTCCATGTTCGTGCTGTAAGTAATAGTACACTCTAATTTGTATTCACTGTTTGTTGTGAAAGAGGGATGTAATTTTTAAATATCAGTGGCTCTCAGATTTTCCCATTCATGACATCCAACTCCCAGTTTATAAATGTAATTTGTTTGATGAAAACTGTTCATAATGTGAAAATTTGTAATTTGAAAATAAATTTCCCTTTAACTTCAATTTAAAAAATTCTGACTTGTTCTCGACTCTCAGAAAGATCATCCAGTATTTTTCCCACATATGTTAGAATATTGTACATTAAAAAAATGAGAATTGTTTTTATAGTTATTGTCTATTTAACCTTCTAAAGCACTTTTGAAGTGTTAAATAAAATGTTTGCATTGTAGACTTAACTCTACTAAGAATAAGAAAACATTATTCATGCATTAGAAGTGAAGATCTTGAGAACACATTAAATCTAGAAGTGACAGTTATATTTAAAATTTTCCCAGAAATATTAAGTAATTTTCTATTTTTGCAGTCTTTGGAAAGTATGGTTGTTTTGAGCATCTGGTCACACCACTGTTTTATGGATTTTAATGTTAATAGAGATAGTTGTTTGGTATACATAGCATGGCTGTAGATTATTTAGTTTATATATAACATATAATAGCGAGGTAGATGTGACCAGTAACCTAATGGCTTGTTCGAGAACATGTGGATGAATATTGTTTGTTCCCTTCAGCCAATGTAAATGGTTATGTAAGAAACACAGTATTTATTTGCTGTTTACTGTTCTGTCTTAATTAAGATATTTGTGAAAATATTGCAAGGTATATCTGGCTTGTTGTAAGGTGCTTGACAGTGACTTTATTGCAATGTACTCATTGACATTATTCTTGTTTGCTAGTACCAAGGAAAGTCTATGGCATGCAACTATCAGCCCATCCTGTGAATGGAATGGATGAGGAAATAAAAAGTACATACATTCATTTGATAAGGAAACCTCTTGGGAACAAACAACTGAAAATATCAAGGAGTAGGTGGGAAGATAGTGTAAAAATGGATATCACAGTGTATTCATATTAGTATTTGGAATAAATTTGTGTGCTATGCCAGTATTATTATAACTACAGAATATCCTATATTCTATAAATGAGCAATTTAGGAATTACCACCCAGCATAATTTATTTTGAATTTGTTATAGTGCCTGTCATGTCAAGAAGAGGTCTTCAATCTGTTCAAATTTCTTATCAGTACATTTCTGTTTTAATACAGATGAAATCCTTTTTACCAGATATTTAATACTTATTGAGGACATCTCTAACTACTATACTTTTTTCTTTCTTTGTAGAGCGAGGGTAGATTCCATTTGTTATATCTGTAATTTTTACTTTTCAACTCTCATCAGAAATGCACTCTCAGACTAGAAATTATGGTCATTACAATAACAATATACCTTTCATATTAACATATTAATTTTCTTATATTTGTAAGACTTTAAGCTTTCACTGTGATTGAAATTGAAAAAATCTTCTCAGGTGATTTTATAATTTTTACATTTTGTTTAACAAAGTGAAAAGCATAGCCTGGAATTTTGTCTTATGTTAGTTCTTTCTTATATCAGAAATGCAGACTGCGACAAATAGCTTATAATTTTTATTACAGCTTATGTTTAATTAAATTATATTGAAATTGAATGAAGTCAATGACAAATACAAATTTCAGACTATTTCAAGGACATTTTACACAACAGTGGTTGTGTAAGATTTGATGCATAACAGTGGTGACAATAGCATAATACATTTCTCTTTGTGTTCTATTATTTTTCTATCATGGTGTCTTTTTCCACTCCCTCAGATGAATGTTGTTTAATTACTTTTATATTAAAATCATTTACAGATTACACACTTACAGTGGAAACATCTTAGGAAGAATAAGATTAAAATAATTTAATTTTAATCAGTTATGTAATGTAACACAATTGATAAGAACTATATTACAAGAGCAGAAATAGTGTAATGGGTGTAGTATAATATGTTTTATCTGTATAATTAATTACAATTTGAATAGACAGAGTTTTAAATTACTTGAAGTTATTGAAGGCTTTACTCAGCCTTTTCCCCACTTCCAGTCCCATGACAAACCTCTAAAAATTATCCCTTTCAGAAGATTTTCTGTTGGCATTTTGAGCTTAAGGTGAATGTTCTACTCAATAAATTAATTATTGAGGTAAGGAATTATACACCCTAAATCAAAACCCCAAAACAAGTTATTTAATGTATAATTAATTGGGATCCAATTAAACTACACTTTAGTATAAATTATACAGACTATTATATATTTACCTAAGCATACTTTCCTTTTCAGGGAAGATAATTGGCTACATGTATATTTCTTCCTTTAGACTTTTGAACCAGTTGACTGATTTTATAAAATATTACATCATTGAAGTCTCTCCTAATCTTGTACTTTCAATTTCCTGTGATTGGCAGTAACAGCATGTTTGATGCACAAACTTGTGAGTTTTGAGTGATGTTTGTATCATTCACTACATGGCCCTGGCATGATGTATGCTAACAGACATGAAAAATATATTACCTTTATAAAGGTAAATTTTGTGTAGGATGAAAATAAGCATGTTGACTGCATGAAATCTATAGTTAATTTCACTTTGATGGTGGTAATTAATGAGCCACTTGATATATGCATGAAATATGGAATGGAGATAGAGTATAAAGTCTATATAAAATACTGTGTAAGATAGTGCTGAAGCATTATCTTGTGAAGATTAACATATCTGTTACTGTTATCAGTTTTAAATACTGAGATATTAAGTGTTAAACTGTTATGTAAAAATTGATGATAATAATAATAATATAATGCATTGTTTATAAGTTAACTATTGCAGTTTGGTGGTCTTGTGAATCTTTTAGGTTATGTTCAACAAAGATTGTGAAATTATTCTCAAAAGAAAAGAATACTAATTAATGACAATAGTGACAGCAGCAGCAACAACAACATTGATGATGATGATGACCTTACCATGTGTTTAATTGCAAGCAGTAAATACATTATGACTAGACTAGGATTTGAATGAATGACCATCAGTGTATGAGTCCAGCATGTCATTCCATGAGCTACATTACATTGTTGGGTAAAATTTATATTATCTGAATGTGACATTAGCAACACAAGTTTTGTAGCACTGAAAGTCTTTGCAATAGCAAAGTAGGCTTTTATTATTTCTTCCCAGAACTCCTTTATTTCATGAACTCAAAGTTGGACTGCATTTTGGTGCATAAATATAATTATAGTAATTTTTAAATTAGGCCTGCTAGACTCCTTGCCATTAGTTCTTAGTACCAATGTAGTGTTGTCCTTGACTTGAACATAAATGTCCATGCCATACAAGTTGTGTCTCACTTTGCCTTGTTGTCTTGTAGTTTGGAACCTCAGTTGATGTAGATGTTAGCGTAGCAGCCATGTTATGTATGCTTCTAGCCCAGCCCCAGCTCAGAGGTGACGAGCCACCAGAACATTCCCGGCTGCCTGTTTCAGAGTGATCTCAGCAAGAAGAAAGGTGACTTTGTCTTCCAGACTGGCCATGTGATTGAAATTGTCACTAAGCTGTTCCTTGTAGTCCAGAATGCAATGGGAAAACCACCTGAAGTCAACATCAGTACAGAGTAAGCAGTCCATATCAGATTCCACATTTTTGTTCTGCAGTCAACTGATTTTTCATCTGTAGATCTTTTTACAAGTAAAAAAATCTGTAAACTGTAATTCTTATTTGTAGGCATATTGGCAAATGGCATTAGCCCCTTGATGCTTGAAGCTCATCTAAATATTTAACGCTTCAGCTCTTGCCTTGAGGTAAACACAACATGTCTCCATTGCAGAGGTCAATTGTGTAATGCTGTTGTGGGAAAAATTACTGTTTACTGAGAATTATATGAAACCAATAAATATGCTGTCAGATATATATTTATAGCTACTAATTATAAAAGTTGATGGTACATATACTTACCTCTGGGCTTTAAAAGGCTAAGCAGTACTTTGTCTCTTTTATGATAGGGTGGTATATTTAAAGGAGATGGGATAAATGATCATGTAGCATTGCACATACAATTTTAGTCAAAAAGCTTGAAGGGAAGAAGAGACTATTTAGGAGATGTCAGCATAAGTGAGAGAATAATATTAAAGTGGATCTCAAAGAACTAGGCTGTGGGAAACAGAACTAGATTTGTCTTGCTCTGGAGAAGACCTAGTGTCATCCACTTGTGAACATAGTAATGAACATTCAAGCAGCATAAAAGGCATGGAGTTAGTCTACTTTCTTTGTCTATTTTGTGTATATGGCATAGCTTTATTTTGAGCTAAATGAATTATCCTGAAAATAAATACCAGTGGTCCCTATCTTTGTCAGTCTAATAATTCTGTTTTGGTCCATATTGAACTTTGTCCTTCTGACTTGTCTTCAAGCTGTGAAGCATTTCTATGCTATTGGTTGCTAATGTCCTTCCTGTTTCACTGTTAAAAGTCTTAACATTGGTAATTGTTATTTCCATAAGCCTTACAGCAATGTGTAGAATGTTCAACTGTAAATCAAGAATTCACAAATGTCAGTCAGCAATATAGACATTTTGAAAGTGTAGGAAAATATTGTTAATGCCGATTGCATGACAGTATTTCTTTCAAGTATAGAAATAAAATATAATAATCAGGTTCTTAAGACTATCAGATGTTTAAGGTGTAATGTTACATACATGTATACAGCATCAGGTAACATTGTGTTTTAATATATTAGAGAATGATATTAAATGTGGTATGGCTGCTACTTTCCTAATAAACCTTCAGGTTCCATAAAGGGCAGAGTATTTCTTGATTAGTTGAGTGACATTTACCTTCTCAGGAAGGACTCTGCTTCATGGATTTAATTAAATGATTGTTTAGTTAATTCTTAATCTAAGTAAATTAGTATCCGATATAATTGTTACTGTTCCTATAAATACAAGAGCCAAAACTGTAGGACCTTTAACATCAGTGCCATATACTTAGAAGAAACTACTAATGTAGTGCATCACTCCGTTGTCATGTAACATAAAAATAAGGAAAAGCATTCTTTGTAGATGTTTTCAAGTTCTCAACACATATTTGTCTTGTTTACATATTTTATGTCCTTCCTTTTGTTCCAAATTTCTAAATTAGATTTTCTGTTTGTCATTTATTCAGATTTGAGGCAAATTTTGGCCAGCAGACAGTGTTGTTCACTTTCAAATGCACGGGCCTTCCAGAGGTGCAGCCAGGACAGATCCGCATCCTGCGTAAGGGGAACAAGATGGAAGTTCTTGTATGAGATACAGCTATCTTAGTTCATGCATCTACTGCTTTCCAGTAAGTTAAGAATTATTTTCATTGCTTTTGTTTCAAATCATAGCTAAACACTTCATATAAAATTTGTTTTAAAATATTTTATTTGCAGTTCTTGGCGCAGGATCGCCTTATCTCCACATATACTCTTGTAAGATAACCAGTGCCATGTTCACAAGAGTCCAGCATTTGACCACTACATTCTGAGTCGTATGAATCTAGTCCAAATCTTAAAACCCACTTATTTAAGACCAGTTTAAAATATTACCCTTTCTTCTGTCTTCTTCAACCAAGTGGTCTCTTCCTGGTAAAGTAGCAGTTTTTAAATGACTGTACTTTTATGTATTCTGTTTAGTATTCAAGAATGAAATCAACAGGGTGATGACAACTCATTGTCCTGATGATGGATGCAGGAAGCACCTTTGAAACATTGGTAAACTTCTATCAGATTTTGGCCCAACATCCCAGAAGACAATCATCTTCTCTCTTTATTAATCTGGATAACTGGGAGTAAACTGTATGATGGACACAAAAATGTTAGTTTATGTAATGATAATATTAAATAATCTCACTACCTCAGAAATACTGAAATTAGGTGAAACCCCATGGTAAAACTGATTCTAATATATTTTAAAGATAGTTTTAAATGTAAGCAGTAACATGAGAGAAACTGAATGCTAAAATTAAAGATGGGTTATCTGGTTACAGAGATGTGTTCCATTAAGATGCAGTCTGCTGCATGTGTTCCCCTTGTGCTAAACTGCATTGTCTAAATGTAGGGGCCTCTGATCCAACCCAACAAAACCAATTGATTGTGATAAAATGCCTTGCCTGCCTTGGTCCAACAAGCCTGTGTCTAGTCTAAGGCCAGACTAAAAGGTGGGTTACAACATTTTATTACTGATATATTGATTATTCTCTAGTTCCACGCCGTACCCGCGCGGTCTGAGGCATCATGCTTCGGACTGGCGATACAGAATGCGTGCTGGTTCGAATCTTGGGAGAGAAGAAATTTTCTCATGAGCTTTCGACCAGTGTATGAGACCGGTGCCAACCCAGCATCGTGAGGAAATTGGGGAGCTACAATGAGTAGCGTATTCCAGTCAGGAAAGCTAGCAATGGCTGGGGGTTCGTCGTGCTGACTACACATCACCCTATATCTGGTTGGATGATCGTTCACCTCTGCTTAGGCATGTGAACATGAGGCCAGCAGCCAGCTAGTCGGCTTTGGCTCTCTGGAGCTGTTATGCCATGGATTTAATTTAATTTTAATATTGATTATTCTAAACTTAATCAAGGGGTCCTAGAATCATTAGTGCTCTTTGAGGAATCTGGCAAGGTCCATGGATGGTAATTATTATTCTTAATAATAATATTCCTCTTGTCACCCCTCTTACATGGTGGCAGTGTTTCTAATTTATGTGTACTTCTTGCAGGTCTCCGCTCAACAACAATATTTTGGAGCAATTATTTGGGATAGAAAAATGTGAGAATCTCTATATACAATAGTGTACAGCATGAATAAGGATGATCTATACTATTCAGTTTCATGTTGAAAATCCATAGCGAGTTGTGTAAATATGATGCCATAAAACCTTAACAGACCTGAGTGAGTGTGAAGTATATTTAAATGCACATATGATGAAGCACCATAAAGCAATACGTTGAGTTTTCTCCTGGTATTGCAGGAAAAAACTAAAGAAATACTTTAAAGACGTTTTAGTGAGTACTGGAGAAATCAGAACAAGTTACAAAATTTAGAATATGGTAGCTGTGTTAAAAACTACTTTCATTTTCAGCATTTTTTATTGAGTATTGCAAGAGAAGAAAGAAGGAAATTCTAGTCATGGTACAAGAGTATCCAACTTGGAAATAATGTCCGATACTCTGAAATAGTGGAAGATATTTCAATCAGAAAAATAAATGGTAGGGCATAAAGTGTTACAACCATCTGATCAAGCTCTATTCTAATGTACGTACTTCAAACATATCCAATACATGAAAGCAAAGAAAGATTGCAAAAAAGTAAGTAATTATAAAGAACATTTTCAGGAGAACATACGTACTGGGGAATGGAATAACTATCTGCCTGTTATAAAAGCTCAGATACTTTGATTGAACTTTCCTTGTCCAAATTTTCCACATACTTTAATTTAACACATAGTACATTGTTACGAACCTCAGATTATAAAGTGGAAGTTGTAACAAGGAAGGTTGAGTTATTCTTTAATTGGACCAGTTGTAATGGCCCCTTAAGCAGTAAAAATCTTGTTAATAGATGGAGTAGCTTCTAGAATCTTCATCTAGCACGTTTGGTTATGCTTTTCTCTGCTGCATCATTCTCACACCATTTATATAGACTTTAAAAAAATCAAAGAAATACCTGGAGAAAAAAATATTCATAGAGGTCAGGTTATCTGAGAAAATTTTATACTTGTATATGAATAACGGTAATTGCTACTGAAAATGTTTTTCCATTTATGGTTAACTTCTTTACTTTGTCTTTTAAGAGGAAAATATTGATTAATATATATTTAATTTCTTCCAAATAATAATGTGCCAGTACCAAAGATTGAGATTTGACCCATTATACACTAAGGTACACATTAGGTTCAGTGCTGTTCTGAACTTCTATACTATGTTGTTTTCAGTTTAGTTTAGCAAGTACCTCGATTACATTTACACCATCAACTTAACACTGTAACTCACACTGAGATTTTTGTAACTGAAATATCACTACTACTTAATCCAGGAGTCTCAAACATGCAACTCCCAAATTGAATGTTACCAAATATAACGTTTTTATTGAGTAAACGATTTTAAGATGATAACATGAATTAAGGTAAGATTCGAAAGAACACAGAGGAAATTAAGAAAAGTGTGCGTTGGTTTTATATAGTATGTATCTGTGCTGTATGATCTGAAGCTTTCATCACAACTAAGTATAATAAATTCTTCTTGGCTACAAGCTGTGTAAGGTGGGTTAATGAAGAAAACACCGTTTCAAGAACCGTCTTCATTCTCGTCCTCAAGGTACTGTTGTAGGTACCCTGAGGATGGCAGTGAGTATGTAGACCGCTGTCTTCTGGACAATGATCACTGTATTTATGGAGGCAGCAAGCACCTCTGAAATGTCAGACTACACAGTGTAACAACTCAGAAGATGGCCATATTCTTCAGTTCCTGTGTTTGGCACAGCTCTCCATTCAGTTACACAAAATTGTTGGAATAGATTATTGTTACAGAATGTGGCAGGGGCCAGAATAACACATATAAATCTTATTGATTTGCATTATTTTATTTGTATATTCTGTTACTCTTTCCTCCCAGGCTGCTTATAAAATGTACCAGCTTTTGTTTCTGTGTGCTTTGAGGCTCCTTGATTAATCATTTTATATCATAAGAAACTTCCCTACGAAATGCCAATACCATTAATTTTGATCAAATGGAATATGGTAATTGTCCTTCCACCTTACCTTACATCAGAATGTTTTGTTGATGTCAACTAAACCTTATCACTGATATACATTGGACATAATATTTTAAAATAATTGTGTTTGGTGCTTAGGAGCTGAGGGTACTTATCTGTCCTAAACATGCATTCATGTGGAGAATGAAAGATATTTGATTGAAGCTTGAAATGGGAGAAACATAAGACAAGGTTGTTATTTGTCATACTGTATGGATCATAATGCTCATATTAATTTGGACAAAATTAAAATTCCATATATGTACATCATCCAGTATCCATATATCTTTCCTGCCTTGTTTCTGCCAAAAGGTGTCGCAGAAAAGGTATACAAAAAATGTTCCTCTTGGAGAAAGAGCCCTGAGACAGTTATTGATTTTTTTAATAACCTCTGTATATATAACAGTTGATACTTTCATATGCTTTGTCAGCTGATTATGATTGTATTAAGCTGAGTAATATTGCTATGATTTGTATTTAATTCTGTTAACAGTGTCTGTGACTGATTTATTGTTACATAACATTACATGCATATTATCAAAAATAAGTTATTTTTCATAAAGTAATATAATAATTTTCAAGCAAGGAAAGTAATTACAATGTGTACAATTAAGTTGTTATTAAATATATTTTGTATTTCAGTAAACATATGGTGTCAGTTGAGGACAACAAAAATATTGTATTTCCTTTATTCATTTAGTAATAGGTTTTCAGAAAAAAATATGCTGTATCAATTCTTAGGCGCCATCAGATGTAACATGCACCCGTTTCAAATAATTATTCTCATTTTTATTTATGATGCTGTCAGAAACTCAGACTATATAGCATCAATCAAAATCCAAAATTATATTATATTCATTATATGAAGTTTTAATTTTGTCATAAAATAAGAACCGTGAAGTGTGTTCCAACTTTCTGTGATATTATACATTATTTATAGATGTCATTCCAACTTCTGATACCTTAAATTTCACGAATTACCACAAGAAATATGATACACTGTTCCTAATAAAGTTATATGGTCATTAGCACATTACAACAAACAATAACTGCTGTTTATTCAAAATAAAATGTTATGACTGAACAAGCCAGGAAGTAAGGCCTAGAATAAACTTAATTACAGATCAGAATATTATTTGTACATTTTTATGATCCATACAGTCTTATTCATCTAGATCATTCCATGAGTCTTTTTATTCTTATAGATTTTTTCTAATTGAATGATCAATTTTTATCAGTATGAACAAGCATTATCTTCTGGCTCATTTCCAAGCACCAATACTACTTTTTCCCAATAATTATCTTTTATATAGTATGTAACCTTTAACTAAATTCTTTAATCTATGCTTATTGTATTCTAAACATGGCTGCTTGTTCAGCATCTTTCTTCATCATGTTAAGGGATGGTATAGGTAATAGAATGTAAGTATAGATCTGTGGTATGGTTTAGGATTGTAGTGTTATTTTGTGCATCCCATTTATAAAACCCCATCCATCTTCATCCTTTTATCAGTACCTTTATATTGTAGTAAGATGATGCCCACATTTTTAAAAAGAACGTAGGATTAAACATTTTCTACATCACATAAAGCACAGATCTTTCATTTGTTCATCCCCATGTTGCAGTCACCGTTGTTCGCACTTGTTAACGGAGAATATTTTTTAACTTGAGGATGGGCAAGTAGGAGAAAATGTGTAAATTAATAGTAATATAAATAATGTACAAAAATGTTGTCAAAAATACTTTGAAAGATAAAAAAATGTATGGTTTCTTAACAATGAGAATTTTTATAATAAAAATATATACAGTGTTTGAATTGTGACTAATATTCCTTTTTTTTTACCTGGTAATTTTCCATTTCCCAGTAAAGCTGATGTAACATTTGAAAGCAATGTCACTGACTTACTATCAGCTTAAGCGACAAGAAGGTAAATTGTGAGATGTTAATTTTTAATTCCTAAAGAATAAACTTGGCTGTGAGATTTCAGCCAGTAAAGTGGCAACCTGCTTTAATGTTAGGGTCCATTCTCTATACAGAGTTACTGTGCATTAAAGTTTATTTGAATGTTGTATGACTGTTTATTTATCTTGCTGCAGATCTTTCAACCTGCTGTTGCTGGGTTCATGACATGAAGGCAGTGTTTCCCTACTCATTCTCTGAAGACCTCTGCTAGTTTACAGATTCACTGCCATTGTATAAACTGATGGCTTCTTCCTTCTGTTCTCCTCCTCCCCCTACTTACATTGCACATTACTGCTTTCTGCACAAAGGTCTTGCAAGGTAAGTCAGTTACACTTTTAATTATGTGATATGCCCTCATAAATAGCCTTTAAATGTGAATGTTCATTGTGGGTGATCACAACATCTTACATTTTAATGCTACATAAAGACATTAATTTTTATATTGTCCATCAAAATGTTACTAGTAATCATTATATTTATGCTATCCT